CTCTCCCCTCCCACCAGCTTGGTTTCTGTTGAGTTTTACTACTATATGTGTACATGGGTATTGATCAATTAGTTCCAATTTAATTTTAATGATGAATTACAACTAAACAGAGTGTTTATTATGTATAAATCATTCTGGTAGGTGCTAGGAATAGAAGAACAGTTAAGGGATTCTCAGATAGTATATAATCCAGTAGGAAAGAGAGTCAAATATGTAAATTACAAATTGTAATATGAGGCAGAATGAAGGGAAAACAGAGGCACATGGGGAGGACAATAAAGAGGTATACATTTTGATGGGGGAGGAATGTTTTACTAGAGGAGGTGGCATTCAAGCCAGGTCTTGAATTCTGAGAGAAGTTTCTGCCCATGGAAAATGGGTGGGGGGTTGGCATGGGAGAGGCATATGTAGCTGAGAAAACATAAGCAAAGCAATGATAATAAATGGTAGATATGAGAAACAGAATACTAGAATGGCATGTGGGATAAGTGGGAAATATAACTAATTTACTCTCATTTAATCTTCACCAGAACCCAATGAGTTAGGTGTTATCACTATTATCATTTTAAAAAGGGCATTGAGGCCAAGAGGCTACCTAACCCTACCTAAGATCTTGTACTTACTTAGTCGCATGGCTATGACTCCCAGGCTCTTAATCACTGTGCCAGGGCCTTTTCATTACATGTTACCTATTATTGTAAACCTGGAAAAGACGGTTTATAACCAAAGTATATTAAAGAGTTTAGAGTTTTTTTCTATTGACAAAAGGGGCCATTGCAGGTTTTTGAGAAGGGGAGTAAAATGACTCACATTGTACTTTAGCAAGGTAACTATGGCAGAACGGAGAATGGTTGGGGGAAATAAGAGTCTTTCAGGTAAATCATTGAAATCAATTATCTAAGCAGGAACAAGTGAGAAAGCATGCAAAAGTCCTGACACATGGACACTAACTATACAGCCTTTCTTCGCTCTGGTACTCACCTTCCCATCCTCACTTCATAGCTCCAAGGACCTATAATTCTAGGACCTGAGTGGGCAGTTTGCCGACCTCTGAAATTATTTTTCATCACTTGAAAGTCTCATTAAACCATTCATCCATTTTTATTACATACAACCAAACCTGTTTCTAGGAATACATCTATAAATTTTGTTTTCTTTTCTGGAAATTTTTTCCCCATTACTTGATCAAGGACCCCACTGAATTCCTGAAGAACTGACTACAGCCTTTACCCTCTTCTTGGAGATTCCATTATATTTTGGAGTGTCTATATTTTTTAAACTTTTTTTTCTTTCAGCATATTATGGGGGTACAAATGGTAAGGTTACATATGTTACCTTTGTCCCACCCAAGGCAGAGCTTCAAGCACGTCCATGACCCAGACAGTGCGCACGGCACCCATTAGATGTGAATATACTCATCCCCTCCTTCCCGCTCCCATCTGCCCGACACCAAATGAATGTTACTACTATATGTGCACATAAGTGTTGATCAGTTAATACCAATTTGATAGTGAGTGCATGCGGTGCTTGTTTGTCCATTCTTGGGATACTTCACTTAGTAGAATGGGCCCCAGCTTTATCCAGGATAATAGAAGTGGTGCTAGATCACCATTGTTTTTTGTGGCTGAGTAGAATGAAGTGTCTATATTTTAAAAATGGTTCCTTTTGTTTGGATTTATGTCATAAAGGAATAGTGGGGTCCCAGAGTAAGTGCCTCAACAGCTTACCATTCAGGCATGTCTGGTTGGCAGGATAAGCTGGTCCAGACTGTACTTGATTGAAGGCACCTAAAGAGCCTCAGAGGCAGCATATTGCCTTATGATGTTGGGGCTGGGGCTGTGTCTGGCCCCCAGAGCTAAGACCCTGTGTAGCCTCACCACCCAGGCCGTGTGCTAGATGGGGAAGGAGCAGACCCCACACAGAATCAGGACCCAGGCACATGGCTGGTCCAGGGACATTGCCCAGAGGTGAGTGAGGTTATACAACACTTTGAGTTTCACAGTGATGTCTCATTCACAATTCCTGTCTTTCTCTGGCTGGGAAGTGGGGTGGGTGGGGAAGGGATAAATGAAAGATGGGATTGAGTATAAGCTGCTTTGTTGTGTGGCCTCCTACCAGCAGAATGTATTCTTCATCATTCCCAGCCTCCCTCCCCCAATTCAACCCAAAAACTGTGCGATAAGGATCAGAGTAGAAAGAAGTGTCACCAGCGTAGGTGGTGCTGGGGATCTGATGACAGCAGCAGCAATTCCTCCAGGAAGAGCGACATCATTGCAGCAACCGGGAACATTCAGGAGCCTCCCAGGAAAGAGAGGTACCAAGGTGCACTGTCTGGTGAGCACATGATACACCTCACAGATTCCTAACACCAGAGACAGAGTCAGGAGTTTGAGATCCAG